ATACATGTAAAAAAAATTGCAGATATCTTCTGCTAAAATAGGTTAAATAATAAAAAAAAAACTAATGTCATTAGGTATTTACAATTTACACGTTATGTATTAAATTTTACATTTTTACTCATTTCTAAATAAAACGATTTTTGTAAATTTTTTCCTCATAGAATAGCTATATTTTTTTTCTTTTGATGCAGCAGCATGGTGAAAACGAATATTTAGATATGTGAGAATAGCCAAACTTATTATTTGATCCCTATGTGTATTAAATAATTGCTGGCCTTTACAATGGTCATTTAATTCATTGAAAATATTTGGTTTCTTGTATATTTTGTGTTTTATTTTATTAAACATTTTGTGTTTAATATTTGGTAAAAAAACATTRAAAGATCGAAAAGTTCTTTCTGCTTCATGACATATTTCTACTACATCCTGACTGGGTTTTATCAAAGCATTATTTCGATCTTTTTCCTTTATTAATTTGAAATTATGATTTGTGCAATCAATTAAAAATGGGTGACATATATCACAAGTTATTTTATTTTTTATTTTTTTCACCACAAAACCAGCAATATAATTTGTTAYCTCATCTAAAAATGGTGTCAGTCTACTTAAAGATTGTAAATAATCATRATCTTGTTCAACTGCATTTAAATCTTCTTCAATATCATTATTTATGATAGAATCTGGGCCCACATTAACCACAGACATTTGAGTGCTATCAAGTATTGCAACACAATTGCCATACTGTGAACCGYTAATTTCATTATGGACCAGTAATTTTTTATAAGCCGATTTAAATTGTTTACAAGATGGGTTGTTGTTAAACCCACCTCTTTGTCTTATTGAACTAAAAAATGTCTCTATGTGGTCTTGAGAYAATTTAAAAGACAATAAGTRAGCAAGAGAATATTTTTTTTGTAGACAAGTATAMAATTTTAATATATTATCTAATGCTTTTATAAGTCCAACAAAGCCAGTTTTTCTTCCCGATTCTATTACCCTTTTACCATTGGGCAACGATAAACCTAATACATAGTTATAAAACTTCTTGCTAAAATGTTCATATTTTTCAAATTGTTTTTCATCAAGTGCCAGGCAGTAGGAAYTTTTAGAATATTTACTTCTGCAATTGAGTATATCAAATGCATCATTCATCATCAAACAAAACTCTGCTGTAGCATCAATATCTTTAAATTCATCACATCCTAAAGATTTGCAAAATTTCAGACCATTTCCAACACTATAACTCAATACCTGTGTTGCTAACTTGACATTCATTTTCTCGTTGTAATAGTATATATGTTTATTCGTCAATTTTGTGGCTGCTTTTAAACCTTCATTTTTTTCTTTGAAGTACAACATTTTAATATGGTCCCAACTTATTTTCTTTCCTTCTTGATTAAATAGACACCCCATATCTCCCAAAGTGTTTCTAACCAACTTGATCATATGGCAAGCATCATAAAATATATATATAGGCTCATTATTATATGGATTTTCAAAACTTAATTCGTCATTCATATCAAATGAAGCACCAAGATTTGAACACATTTTACCATTACTATAAGCTCCATCAAAAGTGATTGAATGAACTTTGGCACCCGTATCACCCATGAGAATTAAACACTGTTTTAATAAGTTACTTYTTTCAGTTCCATTTAGTCCCGCAACAAGAAAATAACCTATGGGCATTTTCCAGTGTCCATTAACTCCTACAGCCATAAAAACTAGTGCATTTTTTGCGTGAACCGAGTTATCGCTCTCTGTGTCAATATTAGTACCCATATCAACAAAGCCATGCATTTTTGTTCCATCCCATTCAATTTTTTCTCTTATGCTCATCTCATCTAAAACAATGTTGCAAATTACAGTCTCATTCTTTGCTTTCTCCTCTATACATTGGAATGCTTCTTGAGTAAAACCTGGGTCCCCATTCACAACTTTATACCATTTACTTATTGTTTTGGGATGTGGGAGTACATTTATAAAACTCTTTCTCACAAAATTATAAGCCTTATTTGAATAAAATTGTAAAGTTATGGCGAATTTCCTCATTTCTGGTGTAAATGGAAGCTTTTTACCCTTCATATTAAGYTCAACTAAAGTACGCAATGATTCAGAACCAATAGACTAAATAAAAGAATGAAATAAAAACAAAATTATTTATTATATTATATATTTATTATAACATTTTATACAATTGTAAGGTACATGTATATGTCTTTTCGGTTGCTATAAATGTTTCAATTTCAATAGTTGATAATTTTTTTTTATAATAATTTAAAATCAAATGTCAATTGTCAATAAACCTAATAAAATTATCAAAATGTTTGGAGCTAGCCATTAGGGGGGGGGGGGCTAAAGCCCGTTAGCCACCCCCTTGGGTGTGCCCTTAGTGTGTTCACCAATTTAGGGAACACTAAATTTCTCGGGCGGATTTTTTTTTTACAAACTGGTGGTATAGAAATACAAATTTTAAAAATTTTGAAATGTATCAAAAAATGTGTATTTATATGCCACCAGTTTGTAAAAAAAATCGATTAATTCCAAAAAAATTCAGTGGTCCCTTAATTGGTGAACACACTGTATATATAAGTAGATCAACAATTTACCTGCAAGTGGACTGCAGATGCATCCTCAGTTAAAAATTGTTTTTGATGTAATTTCAGAACAAGATCATCGTAAGTATTAAGTTTTTCTGTTAGTCTTTTTAATCGTTTTTTGAGGTTTTCATTTTCAATTCGCTTTTCCCTATATTTGTTCTTTACCATGTTTAAATGYCGCTTTGCCTTTCTCGGAGTTCTAAAATGACTTGGTGATAAAACTCCAATTGAATTGGCATTTAACACCTTGCGTTTTATAGGACTTTGACAATGACTTAAATAATCATGGTCAATATCTAAAATTAAATAATTMAATTAATACATTTAGACTGATATGTTATGCATTAAAATAATGTTTGATAATAAATGTATTGATACATGCMTGTACTCGTAGAAGCTTTAGGTTCGAGTTTGACACATGTCCGTTTCATAGGACTTGGACAAGAGCTAGATGTACCAGTACCATGATAGTYCAAAGGTTCAATATCTTAAAATAAATAATATTAATACATTAAGACTGTTATGTTATATATGAAAATAATGTYGGATAATTAATAAATTTATGCATACCTGTATTCGTAGAAGCTTTGGGTTCAACACATGGCCGTTTCATAGGACTTGGACAGTGGCTAGATGTACTATGATAGTCTAAAAGTTTGATATMWTAAATTTAATAATATTAATACATTAAGACTGTTATGTTATATTTATTGCAAATAATGTTTTATAATGAATATATTGATACAAACCTGTACATGTAGATGCTAGGAATGGARCAGCATTATTTTTTAGATACCCGCTTGGTAGATAATTTTCTGGCAAAAAATGATCATCGCATATCTTGTAAGATAGTAAGCACAATTTTAAATTACAAGCTTTTAACCACAATAGCTTACGATCTTCATTTTTAGGAAAACTAAAATAATATAACACCAAACATTTAATGCAAATTTAATATTTTAAATCTTCTAATACAAATGATTGTACTCACGAATGAAACGATTTCTCTGATGTCTTAGTATACAATTTTTGACAAACAACACATTTTCTCGTCATTGTTAATACACGGGATAATAACAGTATAATATTAAAAAGTAAAAACAATTAACAAATTCACAATTGAGTATTGACAAACAAGCAAACAACTTACGTCTGACAAGTCACAAGTGACAACTATTCAAATGTTGTTGTTGTTGATATTTTATTATCACGATACTATTGATAATACAATACGATAATAATAAGCGTTTTATGCACAACCTGGTTTGTCCTACGCACATGCGCAGAAGTATGAAACAACATGTGCAGCGCAGCCACCGATTACCGCGGGAACTACTAGCTTGCTCCGTCTATGAGTATAAGGTCTATGAGTTGTATATTTTATATAATCTTAGAATTTACTTATTATTTCATTGTATTTATAGTTATAATTTATTTTGCATATTATTTTCACTTTAGATGCCAAAAACTGAAGAAGAATGGTTAAGTGTTGCTAAAACTTATGAAGAAATTTGGAACTTTCCTCATTGCCTTGGTGCAATTGATGGAAAACATATCTAGCTTCAAGCACCAATTGGCAGTGGCAGTGAATACTTTAACTACAAAAGTAMATTTAGTGTGGTTTTGATGGCAGTCGTGGATGCCAATTACAACTTTATATATACTAATGTATGGTGTCAGGGTAGAATATCAGATGGCGGAGTTTTTTGGCACACGTCATTTTTCAAATTACTCRATGAAAACAAATTAGAACTTCCTCCAGCGACAATTTTGAATGGAAGAGAAAAAGCAATACCTTACGTATTTGTTGCGGACGAAGCGTTCCCTTTAAAAGAAAACATTCTCAAACCTTACCCTGGAACTCACGAAAAGGGATCCATCAAAAGAACGTTTAATTATCGACTATCGAGAGCCCGCAGAGTTGTTGAAAATGCTTTTGGTGTGTTATCAGCTGTTTTTAAGAGTTTTTCGGAAACCAATGTTGTATGAACCAGAAAAGGCAACTATTGTAGTAATGGCATGTATATATCTACATAATTTTTTAAGGAGAGACAAAGCATCTAAGGATATGTATTCACCATCTGATTCGTTCGATCGTGAACTTGAGGGGCAGATAATTGATGGCTCACGGAGACAAGAAGTAAATAGTACCATTTTACGACCAATAGAAAAAATCGCTAGAAAATCCCCAAGAGTTGCAGAAGATATTAGAACGGAGTTTTCAGAATATTTTTCAAATAATGGTGCAGTTCCATGGCAGTGCGCCTATTCGCTAACCTCCGGATCCTGATAGCTTCATCCAGCTGTGCCTCCGTGCTAGCCAACTGTTCCACTACTGTAGTAATAGTAGAACTACTGCCATCGGTGGAGTTCAGGCTTGTGTTGCTCGCTTCACCGGTGAGCTGCGGAGTGCCGCTGGCGCTCCAATTGTGGGACGTGCTAGGCGCGCTCACACTACCCCCATCAACGACCAGGATCGTGCCCTTGTACACCGGAGATTTGGGGCGTCCCACCTAGGTACCTGAGGTGGAAGGTGGGGGGGTTAAAATCGGGCCCCCCATTCAGCCCTTGCTGCTGATAATGGGGTTGGTTCCCATCGCGGGGGTCTGCACCGTCCGCTGCACCCCCGCCGCCGTGCATTTGCATAGTATCCTCCAGTATGTACCGTGGACACATATATTGGCACAATGTCCCAACATTGGTCAGGGACTGCGTGCCCCGGAGCGTCCTGTCCGTATAATACACCTTCAGCGATGCCTCCACCGCATTATCGGCTAGTATCGCTGCTTCAGGGCCTTCATACACCGGTATAGTTGGTGCATCCCAGAATTGTGCCCTACATAGCGCTACCAGCGGGTCCCTGGTAGTGAAGTTGGCCACATCATCAATGTTGCCATTGGCAGAGTGCATCTCTCTATTGTGCGCTCTAGCGCATGCCTGTACCCAGGCATTGTTGTTAACCTTGGGTGACACTATCCTAGTAAACGCACTGAATGCGTCATCACTGATAGTCCATGCGTAAGATTCCGGCTCTTCGATCGGGGCTGTGTACTCCGGTAGTCCTGCCACCTCAGCATATACACAAAAAGGACATACGGCGCGAGCCTGGAGGCTAGCAGCAACTGGGCTGTAGGAGAGAGTTCTTACGAAAGTAGCCCCCAGTTCCCGTCCGTCGTCATAAGGTGTGTCTATACTGGTCGTGCCGGTACTCGGTTGTACGACAACGTCCGTCGTTGGTTCGAAACCCACTATCTCTTCCTCCTGTTTGGCCCACAACTTAATAGTGGATATAGCTCTGTACCTCGCGCTGCCCGGCGTTATCGTCTTGTCCTTGTTCAGACTGGCTATCCACTTTCCCTTGGCGTTAGGCAGCCCCGGCTGAGCCAGGATCCAGCGGCAAATAGCAATGGCCCACTTCCTGTTAACTGAACCCGCTTCCAACACGCCCAGAATACGTTTGTGATCTCCAATAATGCGTTTTCCGAACTCGGCGGCTCTGGCAGTGAGTGAGTCATTGCGCCTATTCTTCCTATTCGTCATCGTCACTGTTCGCGATTCCCCGGCTCTTTCTCCACGTTCCTGGTGCTTATGGGTGGTTACCTGTGAAGTGACCTTATCACCTTTGCTGTCTTCGGGGATCTCAGGCTCGACGTTTTCCTGGTACTTAGTGTGTCTATTGCTCTGGGATGGAGGGGGTGGCGCTACTGCTGACATGGTCGACCACAGCAGGACAGCGTCAATTTCTCTATCACCACCGTCTGCGTCAGTGGTCTCGCACCGTACCCTCCTCGGGGTCGACGGGCGGAGGCACAGCTGGCCTGGCCCCATAGATGTTTGCACCTATCAGTGTAGGGTCCATCCCCCTAAGTTTTATGGGGGGAGGACCAGCATCAGGAGAGCGAGCTCGCTCGCTGACGATGTGGTCCGGCAGCCGGGTGGGCCCACCGATAGTGGGTCGACCCTGCTGCCGAACAGGTTGGGGACATACACGATACTGCCCTGTCCCTGGGCATCTGCTGGCCTTATCGGCCGTGCGTCATTGACGCTACCACCACTAATGACGGTGTAATTCGCTGACACTTCACTGTCAGCCCGCCAGTCGTAGTTTGCTCCGCGGATCACTCCACGAACTGCCATCTTACCCTGCTCCGACATGCCTGCAATAACCGACTCAAAGTCAGTACTGAGGGTGCCAGCAGCAGCCTCTCTGCGGTTTCTCTCCGCATTCGCATATCGCTCCGCCTTCGACAACATATATCACATATATAATATGGTATCGCAGTAGAACGCTGTGTGTTTCCGTCCGGACTTTCCTTTTTCCTCCACCGTACTTCCTGAAATATTACTATTTCAGTAGACTTAAGTGGTTTGAGGTCCTTCTGGTTACGCTTTGTGACTTCCTTATAGGACTTCCGTAAACACACTGGCGGAAACAATTTCTYGTTTCCAGAAGTAGCCTAGAGATTTTTTATAACAATTTTATTATTGTTTTTTATTTCCTCTTTAAGCTATAACATTACATTATTACATATTTACATTAAAATGATTTAATAATTTGTATTGAATAATAAAAAAATTTTAAAAAAAGTTTGTCTTTCATTATGTAAATATGTTAATTTTTTTACTAGGTTGAGTATAATTTATTTTGGCGGTAATTGCTACTATTAGTATATTATATTGCATTTTTTTTAGTTATAATAAATTATATAAATTGAGGTTCTTATGATTATAATGTCGATAATAATAAAGTACAAATTAAAATAAAATTTTGATTGGATACAAAATGATAGGTAAGTATATCGACGGCTACAGACGAAAACCTCGTAAGTCGAAATTTTCATTTTTTTTTTTCATAGTAAGTAAATATGTAAGACTATATTAAAATTATTTAATTTTTCTCATTCTTTCCATTTCTTCGAGGGCGTCAATATTGCATGGTGCTCTTTYCATCAGCTTTGAACAGTCTAATTGTTCAATTCTGAGGCCTTGCAAGGATTTCACTTTGCTAAAAGTAACGTAAGCTTGTCCTTTTGCAAAGAGCCTTGGTCCAAGATAAACGACAGCATGA